TCCCTGGCACCCCCCCTGTCCCCAGATCCCTGCATGAGGTTCCTGTGGCCAGGGCTTGGCCCCCTGCCCGGCCCTGGGCTCAGCCACAGCTGCAGCTGTCCCTGGGAGGGGCCGGGGGCTGCTCCGGGCAGCTCCAGCCCCTCCCCAGCCGGGACTCAGAGCTCCGAGGAGCTGCCGTGCCCTGGAGCTGGGCTGGGGACACTGCTGGGAGGGGACTCTGGTGCCACCTGAGATGCTCCAGGTGAGCCCTCCTGGCTCCGGGAGATGCCAAAGGCGGGGCCAGCGGGGCTCAGGGGTTGGTGCTGCCCTGGCTCTCCCTGTCCTGAGGAATTCCCTGCGAATCGGGGCTGGGACAGCCCGGCTGGGCGCTGTGCTGGCCTGGAGAAATGTCCCCTCCCTGCCAGGAGAAATGTCCCCTCCATGGCTGGAGCAATGTCCCCTCCCAGCCCCAGGTCTGTCTGTGTTTAATCCGGAAGCCACTCGGGATGGGCACACGTGCCAGGGGAGTTCATTCCTGCTCCTGCCAACACCCGGTGCCCAAGTGGTGCTGGGGGTGCAAACCCCAGCTGGGGGATTCTGGGGGATTTTGGGGGATTTCGGGGGATTCTGGGGGATTTTGGGGAATTTCGGGGGATTTCGGGGGCTGGGCTGGTCCCGCCGTGTTTCCTGGCATCTGCTGTGCCTCCAGCTCCAGGCTGGAACAAGGAGCCTCCTGTTCGTGGAGCGGGGAAGGAGGGGACAGAGGCGTGGTCGGTGCTGGAGAGGGGAGGCTTTGTGGGGGAAGGATGGGGCAGCGATGGGGCTGAGCCCCACACCGGCCCTTTTTGCCCCGGTACTGCTGACATTCGTATTTTTAGGATGAACTCAGTCGGTTCTGTCCCCACCCTGTCTCCTCCTGCCCTCCAGCAAAGCTCCTGGAAATAACCACGGCTGGGGGAAAGCCGTGCCAGGAGCCAGCAGCCCAGCCATCCCTCGGAGTGATGGGATCCAGCCTGGTGACCCCCCCAGGCTCCTTCATCCCTGCTGCTCCTTCATCCC